CCATTTACATAACTTCCTCTCCTAAAACCTACCGTCCCCTAAAAATAGACACTGCATCCCCTTCGCAGGTGAGGAAATGAAGCTTAGGGATGTGTGAGGTGGCCTGGGTTGCACAAAGCGGTGGCAGTTTCTGCTCCTGCCAGGCCTCCCTACCATCAGAGGGCTGGTGTGAGAGAGCACCTCTACTGGCCAAGGGAGCAGAGGGAGTGGAAGGCTGCAGGGATCCCTCCAGGTGCAGGAGGGAATCACAGAGGTGGAGTGGGGGAGGGGGAGGGACAACACCCCTTTGACAGCCCCAACCTTGAGACCCTCAGCACACAGCTGGATTTTGCTCCCATCACTAAAGCCCACCCAACCTTGTAGGAAGCAGAAACCTGGCAATGGGAGACTTACCCATGTGCCAAAGTCAGAGGGTAAATGCCCCTGCTAGAGATGGCAAGGCTAGAAGGTTGTGGTCCTGGGACAGGAATAAACTGCATGGAGTGGTGCGAGGTAAGAGTCTTCAAGGTCATTGCCAGTTCTCCGTAGTCCGTGGTGAAGCAGCTATGTGGAGGAGGTCTAGCTTGGGGAAGAAGGTGGGGAGGTCGGAGCACAACCCTCCTTCACCTGCCTACAGCAGGACACAACTGGGACTCTCGTCACAGACGCCCAGGCCCCTGTCCCTTTTCTTCAGTACTCAATGACTCAGGTTGACAAGAGTCATGGACTAGATGAGACATCTGGCTCTGACTCCCTTTAATCTGTGACACTTTGGTTCATGGATTGGTCATACATCATGGTGACTATTCAGAGTGGGCGTCAGACCTACAGGTACCCATCTACAGGATAGCCAATGATTTATGTTGAAGCCTGGCCTAAGGAATCTGTCTTCCTAGTGGGGGTGATAATAACCAAAGTATTGCTTCTCTGCCTTCGGCATCCATCAGAATTATCTGGGGGACTTTTAAACTATATGGGCACTCAGCCTCCATTTCCCAGAAATTTTGATTACTTTGGATTGGGGTGCAGACATTGGTATTTTACAAATGATTCTTAAATAATCTTAACGTGCAGGGGCTGGGGTTGTGGCTCAGCGGTAGAACACTCACCTAGCACGTGCGAGGCCCTGGGTTCGATCCTCAGCACTACATGAAAATAAATAAATAAAATAAAGATATTGTGTCCAGTTACAACTAAATAGATATTAAAAAAAAATCTTAATGTGCAGTCATGTTTGGGAGCCACTAATGAAGCCAATCATTCTATTTTTTTTTTACTTCATTATGTGCAACATAACAAAGTCTTTGATAATTCCAATATCTGGATCATTCCAATATCTTGTTTTGGGCCTTATGTTGATAATCTTTTTCTTTGAAAATGTGCTACATTTCATTTGCATATTGAATAATTTTGAATTGCATTCTGGATGTTATAGTTTGGATGTGAGGTGTCCTCCAGTCCTGCTTGTGTGTGAGATAATTCAAAGTTTAGAGGAGAAATGATTGGGTTATGAGAGCCTTAACCCGATCAGTGAATTAACCTCCCAGATGGGATTAACAAAGTGGTAACTGAAGGCTAATAGGATGTGGCTGGAGGAGATGTGTCTTTGGGGTATATATTTTATATCTGGGAGTGGAGTCTATCTCTGCTCTCTGATCGTCATGTGAACCGCTTCTCTCCACCATATCCTTCTGCCATGATATTCAGCCCCATCTCAAGCTGAACTATTCTATTTGTCTCATACCTTTTTTGTGTGTGATTCTGTTCTTCTTTTACCATCTTCTTTTTGATAAATAATATTTTAGCATATTACTTTATTCCTTTATTGATTTTAACTTTTCACACACAAAATTTTGTCTTGTCTTTTCTAATGAGGCTTTTTCTACATCCTCACTCCATCATGCCCCAAAAAGATAATTAATTTTTTATTATTAAACTATCCTTATTTACCTGGGATAAATCTTATTGGGTTTTGATATATCCTGTTTACATATAGTTGCTGGAGATGCCAACTTTTTTCCACATTTTTTATTGGTGTATTATAGTTGTACACAACGATGTGATTTGTTGTTACATATTCATAACATGCACACAATATAACAATGTAATTTGGCCAATATCACTCTCCATTGGTATGTTAAGGACGTTGTTTGTTTTGTTTGCTTTTGGTTTTTTATATGTTTTTTTTAAGTTATTAAAGACTAAGTTTATGAGGGAACTTGATTAATAACCCAAAAACAAGCTTATCGTGTTTTAATATGAAGGTTATGCTTGTCTCAAAAAGGAGTTGGAAAGAATACCATTTGCTATTCTCTGAAAGATGTTATATGAGATTGGAGTCATTTTTTTCCTTTAAGTGTTTGAAAGAATTTACTGGAGAATCCATTTGGCCTGTGGTTATCTTTGTGAGTTATTTTTTTTTAATTAAAAAATAATAATGGCTTGACTTTGGGTTTCCAGTCCTGCTTGTGACAGGTGAATAGTCAGCCATGAGCAGGTGCGTAGGCGAGGACAAGGAAGGGCAGTAACTTGCTGGGAGGACATTAGACATACATATCAAAGAGAGCCCATAAGTCACAGGACTGACTGGGGATGAAAAAAAAAATTATCAAAGCAGATCAGCATCCAGGAAATGGGAACTGGTATGTCAGACCTCCCCCAACCATAGTTGCAACCACTTAAGGAAACTATCAGCACAAGACCATGTTGCAACTATCTCTTGTGACCAGGTCATCCCGACATCCCGACCTCCCCCTCCCATGACCAGGTCATCACTGAAACCATGTCATAGCCATCCTTTGTGACCAGGTCATCATGACCTTTGAAAAGAAAACTTGCTGAGGGCTAGCTATACCAAGGGTAATAGGCCACTTAAGGGGGTATGAGAAACCAAGGCAAGAACACAGGAACTCAAAACCAGGCTTCAAAAGGGACTTAGAAACCCAGACTCTATAAGATTGACGCCATTCTCTCCAGAGATGGTCCACTCAGTGCCTAAGCTGTATGTCCTTGTCCTCATTATTGCTAAAAAAAAAAAAAAAAAAAACCCTCCTGCTGTCTTTGTAGATGGCTAGAAATCCTTCCTGCCAGATCTCAAGAACTGGTTGCTACAGACCCCTGGGGTCACTTCAGCTCAGTGGGAACAGCTTTATAGCACCCGTGAGGAGCTTGGTAGCTCTCATTTTCCCATCTTAACATTGTGGGAAAAAAAGCTGAACAACTGAAAGTTGACAACTCTTCATTTTTTTAGGGGGGGGGGTGGTGTGGGGTACTGGGGATTGAACTCAAGGGCACTCAACCAATGAGTCACATCCCCAGCCCTATTTTGTATTTTATTTAGAGACAGGGTCTCACTGAGTTGCTCAGCACCTCACCGTTGCTGAGGCTGGCTTTGAACTCCTGATCCTCCTGCCTCAGCCTCCCAAACCACTGGGATTATAGGCTGTCACAGGCATGGTGACAACTCTTCTTAAATTCAACAAAAAAACTGAGGTCACAGGACAAACCTTTGCTTCAAAAATTAGATACAAGCTGAGCATGGTGGTGTGTTGAGGATCCCACACATTTGTGAGTTTCACCTCTAGGGGCCCTCCCAGGTTCTTCTAGTGAAGAACAGAAAAATTCCCTTATGCTTCTAGCATAAGGAAGGGGAAGCAGCCATTTTGAGAGCATTCTCTACCTCTTCACAAAGCCTGTCCCTGTGAGAAACTTCTACCAGAGCCTAACTGACCTGGGGGAAGGGAAATATTCATATCCACTCCACTCTAGCCTTTTTGTAGGGCAATATCAACACTACCTTCCCTAATTGTCCTGTTTGTCCTAAGGGGACAGAAGCAGCAGAGGCATGGGCCCATCAAAGATGGAAACCTAATCCCAGGACTATAGAACACTTCATCCACACTTACCACCACATGAGTGGGGCTCTTGTACAACAGGAGCCAAAAAACACAGCGTACAGAAGAAATTTTAACCCCTGACACCTATAGACACAGCAAACAGCAAACACAGCCTAACTCCTAGAGAGATTGACATAAAATCTGATGCTAAAGACCTATTTCCTTTTAATCAGTACATCATGTTGGCTTTCAACAACAAGAAAACCCACAAGGCATACTCAAAGACAGAAAAACAAAACAAAATAAAACAAAAAAGTTTGAAGGGACAAAACAAGTATCAGAACCAGACTCAGAAATGGCAGAGTTCTTGGAATTATCTGACTGGGAACCTAAAACAATGAAATTAATTTGCGAAGGGCTTTCGTGGGAAAAGTGGGTAACATGCAAAAACAATATGCAATAATATAAGCAGAGGTGGAAACTCCAAGAAAGAATCGACAGGAAATGCTAGCAATCAAAAACGTGGTAACAGGGGGCTGGGGCTGAGGCTCAGTGGTAGAGCGCTTGCCTAGCATGTGTGAGGCACTGGATTCGATCCTCAGCACCACATAAAATAACTAAATAAATAAAATAAAGTTATATGTCCATCTACAACTACAAACATATGTTTTAAGAAAAACCATGGTAACAGAAATGAAGAACATCTTTGAAGGGCTAATCAGTTTGTATATCACCAAGAATCAGTGACCTTGAAGAAATGTCAATAAAAACTTCCCAAACTGAAATGCAAAAAGAAAAACAGAATGAAGCAGAATGGAGACAGTGTGATTCCCCCCAACCCACTCCCCACCAAAAGGGCAAATGCAATCCCCAGATCTAACTCATAGCCTGTTGGCGATTAAAATTATATTAGGAGTTTTTTTTCCTATTTTATAACCCTTAACTGTTACCCATTAAGAAGTATGATATAGTTTCTTGACTGTGCCCTCACTCTCGCCAACAATCATATCAACCTCAAAAACCCCAGGTGCAGCTCTAAAATCAGGATGCCTTTGCCTTCACATCACCACTGAGGATAAACTAGAAAGACAATGGAATTATTGGGAGATTACCACAAAAAGCTAAAGAAAAATTTCCCAAGCTCTAAACCTGATCCTCGAGTGATTTGTGTTTCTTCTGCTTCAGATCCCACTATGTGATCTTCTAGCAGCTGCAGCAATTCATCCTTATCCCAGGACAAAGATGCTTATACAGATGTGGTGTCAACAGGAGAGATGGACCGTTTGGCTCCAGACCCACTAGATGGCCCCTCCCTCGGCGTAGAAGTGCTCACACCTCAACAAAAACCAAAACCACCTTTGAGTTGTACCTAAAGCCAGTTAAAATCCCTAAACTCCAGCCTACTCCTAAACCCTTCCACCTGAATCAAAACCAGGTCTTTTCATTGTGCACAGAGCCAGCCTGATCTCTCTCTCACTGTTCCCTCCCCCTCTCCTTGAGGTTAACTTGCCCAATTAAAACTCTGACTGTGTGTTCCTATCCCCTGACCTGGTTTTCATTTCTGTTGTCACCGGGCAGAAGTTCCCAGCTCCTGCATCAGAATGTCCAAGAAACAGTGAGATAATTACAAAAAGTATTTAAAAGAGAAGAAATATTTAAAATGATAATAACTAAGAGTATCCCCCAATTATTGACAGATCCCCAAACCATTGAACCAGAAATCTTGGAGAACACCAAGTGGGATAAATAACAAAACAAAACAGAGAAACAATAACTGGGTAATAGTGCTGTTTTCCTAGAGTCCCAAGAAGGCTGAGAGGGAGGAGGAGTCCTTGAACCCAGGAATTCAAAGCCAGCCTGGACAACAGTGAAAACCCATCTCATGGGGGAAAAAAAAATCCGATGTAGGCATATATCACATTGTCACTGTAGAAAATTAAAGACAAAGAGAAAAACCTGAAATAAAGCAAAGGGGGAAAATATTTATAGAGAAAAAAAGGATAAGAATTACTCAGAATTTTCATTTCTTCTGTCAGATTGGAAAATTGTATTTTGATCCCTTTCTCCATTTTATACAATTGCCTAATTTAATTGTGTAATTGTTTGTTAAATTCTCTCTTCTCTCTTCTCTCTCTCTCTCTTTCTTTCTTTCTCTCTCTCTCTCTCCCTTTTCTAGTTCTGGGGGACTGAACCTAGGGCCTTGATCACGCTCAGCAAGTTTACTGAACTATAGGACACTCTGAACCTTTTTTCTCTTTAATATCTATGAGATTTGCAGAGATGTTATCTTTTTTATTCATTATATTGGTAGTCTTTTATCTTTCTCTCATTAGTCTCTCTGGGGTTTTATCAATTAGTATGTTAATTTCTTAATTCAATTATTTCTGCTGTTATACTTCTTTTCAATTTCTTTAACATTGATCCACTTTTCGGGCACAGTGGTGCACATCTCTAATCCAAGTGGCTCTGGAGGCTGAGGTAGGAGGGTCATGAGTTCAAAGCCAGCCTCAGCAACAGCGAGGTGCTAAGCAACTCAGTGAGACCCTGTCTTTAAAAATAAATAAATAAATAAATAAATAAATAAATATTAATTCACTGTTCTTTTCCTAACTTTCTGAGATGTAAATAATTGATTTGTAGCCTTTACTATTCGATAAGATATACTATTATGGCAATAAATTTCCTCTAAGCATTGCTTGAGCAATTCATTAATCTCAATATCATATCTTCATTATCAACCTGTTCAAAATATTTTTTAGTTTCTCTTTTTTTTATTTGACCCATAAATTATTTAAAAATATAGTGCTAAAGTATTTGGGATTTTCTTGTAATACTTTTATTATTGGTGGTTTAATTTCAGTGTAGTCATAATGTAATCTGTTTGATTTTAATCATTGGAAATTTGGCATTCTACTTGTACTTGAAAACAACGGGACTTCTATCATCAAGCACAGAGTTCTATCTATTTCAATGTGGTCAGATTTGTTGTGTTGTCAGATCTTCTGTATCTCTGCTAATATTTTTGTCTATTTGTTTTATCAGCTATTAAAAAGCAGGGTAAAGTTCTTCACAATGGTTATGAAGACTTTTAATATAGTCACTTTTTCTCTTATATAGTTTAAAGTTATGTTATTGGGTGGGTGCAAACAAATTTATAATTCTGAAATCTTTTTGCTAGACTGACTTCTTGATCTTTTTTCCCTTTTTTTTTTTTTTTAGGTGGGGGGTGTATCATGGATTGAGCCACTGAACCATATCCCCAGCCCATTTTATTCATTTTTTATTTAGAGACAGGGTCTTGCTAAGTTGTTCAGGGCCTTGCTAAGTTGCTGAGGCTGGCTTCGAACTTGTGATCCTCCTGCCCCAGCCTCCTGAGCTGTAGATTGCAGGTGTGCACCATCATGCCCAGCTGACTTCTTGATCTTTATGCAGTACCCCTCTTTACCTTTTTTTTTTAAATGCTTCTTGCCTTAGGTATTTGTATGATATTAGTGTAATAATACTAGCTTTATCGGTCAGATTTTCAAGGTGTTATCCTGTTCTTTTGCTTTCAACCTTCCTGCGATTTTATATTTAAAGGCTACCTCTTGAGGGCAGTGTATAATTTAAAAAGCAACTTTAAGACACTTTTGGGTTTAGAATTCTAGGTTGGCAGTTGTTTTCATCACTTTAGATGTTAATTCATTGTCATCTGGCTTCCATTGTTTCTGTTGAGAAAAGAACCCTTAGATTAGTGGTTGATACTTTATTCCTCTCTGGAAGTCTCTAAGATTTTCTCATTATTTTTTCCTTCCCATTAGTTCAACAATGAGGAGCCTATGTGTGCCTGTGTTTCAAAAACCAAACTGTAGACTTTTTTGGGATTTTACGATTTTCCCATTAATATCCTTTCCGTCTCAAGATCCAATCCAGGGTTCAATACTGCATTGGTTTTAAGGTTGACATAGTTTCCTTGGATTTACGATTTTATCAGCCTTTCTTAATTTTTCATGACACTGACAGTCTAGAAAAATATTGGCCGCACCATCCTGTCAAATATCCCACCATTAAGGTTTGTCTGATGTTTGTCTCGACTCAACTGAGATTATGCGGCTTGAAAAAGAATATCAGAGAAGTGCCCTTCTCAGGTGATTTCATTTTGTCTTGTGTGAGATTTAATGAGCTTATCAAATCTGTGGGTTGATAAGCTTCATCAACTTTGGCCTCTTAAATACTGACAAAAGCGATGCGGCGCCAGACTTTGGAGCATCACATGTCTCTGCCTGCCCCTCTTGATCTAGCATGCTGATCCAAGGTGCCTGAGGGAGCCAGAGACCCAGATCTGTACCCCAACTGCAGCTTGGAACCAAGTCACCCTAAACCCAATGCTCATAGTTTTAATCCACTGAATTGGAGGTGTGCTTCATTATGATAATAGCCAACTGATGCAGACCAGAAGCATCTCACAGATCCTTCTCTCTCCATCCCAAGTAGTTGATTTGGGAATCTGGTGCTTACCTATCTTTCCCAAGTCACAGGTGTCCTCCACTATTCCAACACCTCCTCTTCTTTCCCTCCCTGTGGTCCAAGTCTAAAAGCATACCCAGATCTGGAGGGCCACTATTGAACTCTCTTGTTTCTCTCAGTTAGTTGCATGGTGAGTCCATGGGTACCATCCATCAGCAAGGATCATCTTAGGCCCAGTCACTCCCTGAGGCTTGAGAGAGAGGGAGCATCTGGATAGATGGGCTTATATTTCCCAAGTGAAGTGGCATAGGAAATGTTGAGCCTTTAGATATAGCAATTTTGTTTGTTTTGTGCAGGTTTTTTTTTTGTTGTTGTTGTTGTTGTTGTTTTGTGTGTCAAGGTGTATGATGAGGCGTAAATAGGACAGTGCCGGGGAAATTGTAACACAGATGTTTTGTTTTTTTTTTTTTTTACACAGTTAAAAAAATTACAAAAAGATAATCAAAGCAATTCTCCAAGAATCTTACTTCTACGTATGAAATGATTTAGGTAGACTGTCTTAACTAGCAGTGAACTGTCATGTAGCAAAATAACAGTAAGTCGTTAAATATGAAACAAATTGAGTTTTATTTAACAATAATATTAAACACCGTACATTAGTTCTTGACCTTGTCATTTTGCTGATTGCCTATGTATGAGTTCCAGGTCCCCCCGAGTCAGGCTGTAAGCACATGATGCCAGTCTTCCATCTTCTACCCCTCTGAGATCTTGCCCACATTTCTAGTGAACTTGTGAGGATGCACAAAATGTGTATCAGTCCATGGAGCATGATGGAGTCGGGGGGAGCACTGGGATTACCTGATAGAGAAGGGGGTGAAGGGTACAGCACCTGAGAAGCCCTCCTTTGAAGCTGACAAAGGCAATTCCTTCTTTGGAAGGTACAACAGCTCACTCCTTACTCCCTCTCTGGGGCGGTAAGGAGTTCTGCCTCATCACGAACGGGGATGGATTGAACAAGGAACATCCCAGAGGCAGCGTGAGCATGCCATGACCAAGGACAGGGGAACCAGCATTGAGAGGGGAAGTTTCCAGTCTTTGCTGAGCACCTACCACAGCGAGGCACTGGGCTAGGTGGTTTGTGGACAACTCTTTTTTTTTTTTTTCAAACCCTTTCCAGAAGTTTAATTTCCACTCCCATTTAGTGCTAAGGAAAGGAAACTCAAAAGAAGTTATTCACTTCCTTTGGTCCTTTAGCTAGAAGGTAACTGAACCACTACTCAATTTAAGCTTGTCTTTTCTCCCCAGGATCTCACATCCAGAAAGGGGTTCAAGAGAGCATCTGTCCTAGGTCCTGGAAGCAAACAGGTCAAATAGTAGTGCTGTTTTTCAGACAGTCTGAGGAACTTAACTAGAGAAAGGTATGTGTGAATGTGCACATGTTTCTGGGGTGAGGGGTGAGGAGACAGGATTGCAGGTCAAGTCCAGAAAAGTCTCATCTACATTTCTCCCACTTGTGCTCCAGAGTAGAGAGGACGGGACTCCAGACACAGGACTCCCTGGGTCTTTGACAAAGCAAGGGTGGGCCCAGCCAAGGGTTAGGAGAGGAGCCCTAAATAGAGGCTCCTTTGGAGTGCTAGAGTATCAGATCACCCGTGGGAGGTCCACTCACCCATCTCTCTCCCTCTGCTGTGAGGAATCTGAGAGGCTAAGAGTTCAGGCTCCTTCCTGAGACCCCCAGAGACCTTCTACCACCACACCTTAGGCCCACTGCAGGTCCCTGGCACAGGGCCACTCAGTTCTCTACAGGAGTAACTTCTGGGAAGAGGAGTCCATAGGGGTTGCCTCGGCTTTCTGTTCAGCCTGGTGCCACGGTCACGCTAGGGCAGAGCTCCGCTGAAAGTCATGATGGGCAGGCAGAGGAGGGAGCAGAGGTCGGGTGTGGGCTGGGCCAGCAGGTCAGGGGATTTCTGGGGTGGTAGGCCTCTCTTCTCTGGCTTGTAGCATGGTGACACCTCACACCTGGGGGGCAGGGCAGGGGTAAGTGCAGGTTGAGATCTCTCCAGGTCTTTCCAGGCCTCCTGGGTAGAAGAGAAACCAATCCCTTCTCTGGGACCCCGTTTTACTACAGCTGAGCTTCTCCACCATTTCCTACCTGACCACACTCTGCAGGATCTTTCTCTCATCCTGGTCTAGACACACGGCAAAAGGGCAGCCATTGGATCCAATGATCTGTACCTTGTCCACTTTAATCTGCGATGTGCTAATCTGGAAGGGAAGCAAGGGTCAGACCCGGGAGCCTTGGCCACATGACCTCAGTAGTTCCTTCCCCCAGAATTGCCCATCAGGCCTGGAGGAGTAACGGACAGGAGTTTGGATGGAAGTTCTCCAGAGCCAATGGTCAGGTCAGAGGAGGGTCCTGAGGCCTCCATCAGCCCCTGCCTCCTTTCTGGCCTCTTTCCTGAGTCTGGAAGAAGTGCTCTCTGGGGAGATGGCACTGCCCTCTATACTGTGAGAGCCCCAGTGCCCCCGGAACACTCTGCCCTGGACTCAAGGATCCCCAGACCTCACAACCTTTTCATATACACATCCTCTCGCAGGGCACCCTTCTTTCCCTGACAACTATGACATTGCATACCTCCGCATACTCCAAGCCAAAGCTCTCACTTGCCTCTCCTTTCCCATCTACAGGCCCTGCCAAAGACACTCTTTCTTTCTCTCTCACTTACAGGTGTACATGCGTACATTCTCTCTCTCTCTCTCTCTCTCTCTCTCTCTCTCTCTCTCTCACACACACACACACACACACACACACACACACCCCAATACGCAGGAACTCGGGCACCCTGGAGGGAGAAGGAAGCTCTTACCTGGTTAAAACCCTTCTTGGATTTGGGGTTCTGCCTTTTCACCACTTCTGTTAGGGTTAGCGTCAGCGCCTCCATACTGGAGTCTGAAGGTCAAGGGTGGCTGAGGTCAGGCTCAAAATCCCTCCCTGCCACGCCACCCCACCCCACCCACCGCACTCACCTAGCTCCTCCTGCTTCTGGCAGGCCTTGTTGAGGTTGACAGAGGTGCAGACCTTCTCCAGGTTGCTCCAGCGGCTTCTTCCACTGATGGCTCCCTGGAAATGCAGCACATCCAGACCCTCTCAGCCCAAAGACCCCTGTGCCTGCTGCCTTGGGAGGCTCTAGAGGCCACAGGAGAGAGCTGTCCGGTCTCTCCTCTGGCCATCTTTTCTCAGCACCCAAGGGAGCTTGCTGCAGGAGTCTGAAGGTCAAGGGTGGCTCAGGTCAGGCTCAAAATCCCTCCCTGCCATGCCACCCCACCAGACCCAGCAACCAATAAGTCCTGCTCTGGGACCAAGCTCTGGTGGAGGATCAGCAGCAGATCCCCGGAGGGCGTCGGTCTTACCTTGCTGTAAACAATCTGTAGTGTTAAAGGGACGGCCTCCCGGTCGCCATCGATGCCCAGCCGCTTGCTGCCAGGACCTGTACCACACACAGTCTTCGGTGTCTCTTCTCCCAAGGCCCCGCCCCCACAGGGCCCGGCCTCCCAGGAGGCAGCCTCATTTTAGCCCCGCCCCGCTCCCTGCCTGCCTCCACACTGGGCTCCTGCAGTTCACACCTGAAGCCTTGATAGCTCGCGTGGCCGCAGAGTGACCAAGCTCCAGGGAGTGGATAAAGATCTCCGTCGTCTTCTCCCCAGTGTCGAAGGTCAGCTTGGAGAGGGCAGGAGCACGGGCATTAGTGTGGACCTCTGCGCGGGGAGGTCCCACCCGGCTCCTCCAGTCTAGCTGATGTCAGCGGGTGGGAGTGGGTGGGGGCCGATAGGCCCAGCACGACATAGCCTGGGACTTGGCGATGCGGACCCTGGCTGCCAGGGAGTGTGGGTAAGGAGATGGAATGGGCAGGGCAGACCTTACCTCCGTCTGATAGACCTGCAGCAGTACCGGCCGGGCAGCGAAGCGGCAGTAGTAGAGCAGCATGTCAGCCAGGATGGGCAGCTGGGCAGGGGAGCCCTCCAGGGGCCGGGACTCAGCCTTCAGGGAGTGCTGTGGCCAGGGGAGGGGGAGCCAAGCCAGAGGCACGAAGAGACAGAGACCCAGAGAGAGAGGCAGTGGGAGGAAGAGAGGAAAAGACACACACAGGCAGAGAGAGGAGAGATTCAGAGGCAGACAGAACAGGGGTAGGGGGTGGCGGGTGGAAGAGAGAGAGGGTGAGAGAGAAGCTGGAGGGGCTGGCTGGGGAGCACCGTGCAGCCTCACACCCTCCTCATCTGACACATAGGCCTCCAGGGAGGCCCCTGACCAACCAGGACAAGCCAGGAGTTGAGGAAGGAAGCTTCCTACTCTTTTTAAAGTAAGCCCTGGAAGCCTAAAGCAAATCCAGAGCCTTCTAAGTGAGGCTCAGTGACAATAGCCAGTAGGTTCTAACCCCAACCCCGAGGGCCACTTACCTGGCACAGGACTTCAGGTGGCAGGTACATGAGGCCCAGCACATTGCGCTCATACCAGGGGTCAAGCATGCCAAGGTAGTGGGAGATGTCATTTGTGCTGTCCTCCCATGGGGGTGTGCCCATCTCCTGAGGCAAGGGACAAGAGTCATTCCCAGCTACCCAAGAGGCCTGTGTCCATCTTTGCCCTGAACCACACCTGAAGCCCCAAGCTGAGACTTTCCTTGCTCTTGGAGAAGTATGACAACTTTTGGTCTTTATCATATGGCAAAATGATATACCCAAGTGCAGGCAGGAACCTGGGAGTGAGGGTCAGGCAGAAGGCCGTGCCCTGGACACACAACTGATGGCTTAGGCTGACTCCCAACCAGCTCCCTTTAGGTACCTAGAACCTGCTCACATCCACTTTCCCACCCTACTTGGCTGGGGACTGGGGACATACTGGTGGGTTTGGCTGCCTTGGGGAGTCTGTGGGGAGTGGAGACATCTGGCTCGGAGGGGCTGGGCATGAACCCGAGCCAGTTGCATGGCTTCGCTTCACAGGCACATAGAAGAATTGCAGCTTGAACAGCCGTGTCAGGAGCGGGCGATTGTTCTCCAACCTCCTGGTGAAAAGAAGATGGTGAGAAGTGAGTCCTTGGTTGCTCTTGGATACTCAACTTCTGGTTTCCACTAGAATAACACAGAGCAGAGCGATGTGCCCCGTGATGGGTCTTACCGGAGGTTACTATATGCCCGAGCCACTTTCCCTGAAACCCTGTCGGAGCCAAAGACCACAACCCGAAGTGTGGATGCCTTGGGGTCCTCATCCCCACTCAGGAAGGGGCGGCGGCGCTGGTGGCATGGGGCAGGGGCCAGGAGCCAGCTGGGCAGCTGGGTGCTGAGCTTGGGCTGGGGCAGGGATCGTGAGCGCTGTGCCCGGGAATGGGGCAGTGTTGGGCTGTCCAGTGGGCTGCAGAGGCTCCCCGCCCTTCGCAGGGGCAGGGCTGTGTCCGAGCCACTCTCTAGGCCCCGAGAGTTCCTCCGCAGTACCAGCTGGCTGGTGCTCTTGATGATTTTATAGATTCTGTTGAACTTTTGCCCAGGCCTGCGGTGGCCCCTGCATTCCTGGCTACCAAGCCTCTTGGGCCACTCAGAGGAGCTCTCCTCACTGTCCTCCACATAGCCACTGTCCATGCCATCAGAGAGGCCTGAGACAAAGGAGGTCAGCAGATGGCGGGAGAGCTCTGGCCCTGAGGCCTGAGAGGAGGCAAGAGATAGGGTGGAGTCATGGGACACCAAAGAGTTCGTGGAGAGCAGTGAGTCCCTCTCAGCACAGTGTCCATCAGTTTCCAAGTCCTCCTCCTCCTCCTCCTCTTCTTCCTCTTCTTCGTCATCCCCCAGGATCCCTGGCTGCAGCAACTCCTGTTCCTTGAGTAGGATTTCTTGTAGGATATCTACAGGGAAGAAAGGGCAGTGTCTGGGTGGGTGGCCCTAGAATCACTTCTGAGGGAAAGACTCTGGCAGGTTTGGGGAGGAGCAGGAAGGGGGGGGGGGCTGGGCCAGCTTAGGACTCAGAGCTACCCCCTGCTCTGCTTAGGGTCTTTGGGGGTCCATGGGGGAGAGGGAGAGGGCAGCAGTACAGACCCAGGACCTCAAAGAGCTCATACAGTGTGGTGGGCAGGTGCCCCAGGGTCCAGCCAGATCCTTACCAAAGCTGTCCTGGTTCCAGCTGTAGGTATAGCACCTGGCGACAGGGATGGGGATGGTGTGGAGCTTCCCGGGTTTTGCGGTGTCTGTAAGAGGAGTGAGGGCAGGAGAAGAGGACTGAGAAGGGGTCTTGGAAATATCCAGCCCAGACCCTTTGACTTAGAGAAAAGACCAGAGTTGGGGTAGGACTGGCACAGAGCCACACACCTGGACAGAGTTACAGCCAGAATGCCTGGCTCCCAGCCAGAGGCTCTTCTTTGAAGTACACTGTATAAAGCCATGCACTTGATTAGCTGGGTGGATATGGCCACCTCACAGTCCCTGAGCCTCCTTTTACCATATCCCAATGGGAAAAGAACAGAACGATCTTCAAAAGTTTGTATGAGAAATATTGTCATGGAAACTGCTAAGTGTTCCCCCAAATCTGTGCTCCCTATTGGAAGAATTGTAGAGAGGGCATTTCCCAGGCTCCTTGGGGGCACGTGTGGCCATGTTACACTGGTGGGTAAAGGGGTACATGTGGAAGTGATGCATGCAGCTTCTACAATACTTTCAACAAAACAACCAAGTCCCAGGACCCCAGCAGATACGATCTTTTCTTTTTCCTACAAGCTGCCAACATGATAGCAAGCCAACCCTGCACCTGCAGACAGATCTGTGCCCTAAGGGATGGTGGAGCAATAAAAAGCTGATGAACCTGGGTCCCTGAATGGCTGGGTAGAGCAGAGCCATCAGCCCACTGACCTACACCCTCCTGGGAGCTAGAACAGGTGATAGGGAAAGAGAACAAAGCCCGCCTGAACCCAGAACCTCACCCAAGACCTCAGAGAAGCCAGCTTTCTCTCCCACAGCCTGGAGCTTCGTCCTGAGCCACTTCCGAGCCTCGGTTGCATTCCCAGCTTCAGATGCCTGCTCCTGTGCCTCAGCAACCTCTGTGAAGATGTCCTCAAGCTCTGCCAGGGTCTTGGACTGAAAGGCCAGGAGAGATGAGGTTTGGTCCTGTCCAGTCGCCGGGATACCTGCTTTTTTTTTTCCCCATTCCTAGGGTCTTGACCAAGGCAGCTGCCACCATTCTGCATTCTGGTCTGACTTCCCACCTCTACTATGGCTGGTCAGGGAGCTGGGCCTCCCCCTGCCTCCTCTCTACTCTCAGGAAATGGTCAGGAGAGAGAGGCCCAGAGGCAGGATACTGCAGAGCAGGAAGGACTTTAGACTGTTCACTGCACCCAGAGAGGAGAAGGGGCTGTCCAGGGTGGCACAGCTGACTGATCACAGAGCCAGAACTAAAAGCCAGGTCTCAGTCAAAAGCCCATTCCCATTCCTGGTGCCTTCTTCTGAGGCACCAGGCATCAGCACCCAGCCCCATTACCCAGGGTGCCACCTAACTCTGGCCAGGATCTAGTCATTGTTTTGCCGTGTCACTTAGAGCAAGGGAGGCCAGGGTATACCAGAAGTCTGTAGCTGAGATGGAACAGAGAGGGAGCTGTGCCTCTCAGGGGAAGCGCCAGAAGTCACCAGAGCCCCAGGGTCCCAGGCCCATACCTGCAGCCTGCAGTGCAGGCCAGGGAGGTCACAGTGGGCACCAAAGATGGCCTGGAAGGCATGCATGAGCAGGGTGGTGTAGGTGCTGTGGGGTGAGTGCCCGGGTGCGCTCAACTTGTCAGCCACGGCAAGGAACTCAGCCTGCACCTCCACTGGGTTCAGCAACAGCACAGTGCTGGAGACACAGAGGACAAGATGTGAGATCTGGGGTGTGCCACAGGCCAAGGCACAGCCACACACCTTGCCCTGCAGAGCTCAGAGCTCAGCTCTGCAGAGGCCTGGGCCTCCTTACAGCCCAGGATGGCTTGAGCAAGCAATAGCAGGAAGCCAGGAGAGAGTCCTGGAGGGCTCAAGGGTCCCATTTCCAAGAGGAAGGCTTGTGGTCTACTTTAGAGTGTCTTTCAACTGGAGCTTTCAAAGATTTTCCAAACTGAACTTAATTTTTAAAAATGAATCTTATCTTTTTATATAAACATTTTCCCCCACGGGACATATAGGTGGATGCACATTATTCAAAAGAGGATGGTAGTTTTGTCCAGGTGACTTGAAGCCCATTGACCATTTTGAGGGGGAGAGGGGAGCAGGGCAGCCACTTGCTGTCTGGCTAAGGCAAGTAGGGCCTGAAATTCCTCATGGAGTGGGACAGCATCTATCCATAGGAAGGGGTGCCAATGAGGGCTTCATTTGATTCCTTCCCTCATGGGGACATGTTTTCAAATTAGCCCAAAGCCATCATGCAGGCTCACATTGGGCTAAGGGGTGGGTATTGGCTCGCTCACCTCCACCTCCCTTCCCACTGGACATCTGGGTTCCCTCTTGGTGCTAGTGTTTAAATTTCTTTATCATGGAGACTTTTAAACATACCCAAATGTTAGGAGACTCACAGACCATCAGATACTGATGGTCAACACATGGCCTTCTCATTTCCCCCGTGCCAAGCCCTCCATGATTGCATGATCTTAGAGCAAATTTGAACCATGGTGATAGTCATATAATATAGTCATAAGCTTGTTCTTATCCTCACAATTCCAAGTTGTTAAAACTCAGAGCAAAGAAAAACTATGAAAGTAGGGTTCCCTGCAGGCTTTGTTGGTGTCAATCCCAGAGCTAAGCCCCAGGGTCAGGGCAGAGAGACAGAACAGAGTCCCCTTCAACTGGACAGAAAGTTTTTTGATTTCCCCATTTTTTTCAGGAAAAGGAGGCAGGCTCTCATAAATGGTATCTCCTTTGCTGAGTGCTTGATTTTTTTTCCTATGCCCCTCCCCCCGCCATGGGCATGTGCTAAGCCTCACTATTTGAAGGGCAAGACGGAGATCCTACATGATTTCATTGCTCAAAAACTTTTCATCATTCTCAGTTTATAATTAATGAAGTGAGACCATCTCCCAACCCTAAGCTCTTCCCACTAACCTCTCTGTTCCCTTATCTGAAAAATACCTTTCTCACAAGATTAACATGAGGATTAAATGGATTAACACCAGTAAGTGCCTTAAAGGTATAGGAGATTATTCATCAGCCCACAAGCCTACAGCCCACCTGCCTTGTAGTCCACCCTCCATTCCCCCCCTCCGCCATTATCTACAGTTTTGTTTACCTAGAGTCAACCATGCTCTGAAAATATCAAATGAAAAATTCCAGGAGTAAGGGATTCATAAATTTTAAATTGCATACCATTCTGAGTAGCATGTTGAAATCTCGGACAGTCCAGCTGCAGCCCATCTGGGACATAAATCATTCCTTTGTCCAGCACAGCATATACTACCTGCCCATTAGTCACTCAGTCGCTGTCTCAGTGATCACTTAGATTGTCATGGTATCATGTGCTTGTGCTTAAGGAACCCTTATTTTACTTAATATTGGCCCCAAAGCACAAGATTAGTGATGCTGAAAATTCTGATATGCAAAACCCACCACAAAATGTTTCCTTTAAGTGAAAAGGTGAAAGTTCTCAGCACATATAGAGTTCAGTACTATCTGCAGTTTCAAGCGTTCATTGCATGCCTTAGAATGTATCGTTTGCAGATAAGAGGGGGCTACTATATGACATTTTTATGTCCTTTCTGTCTCAAACATCTACCCTAGACTTTTTTTTGCTTGTTTTTACCCAGAAGTGTTTCAGCCACCTCAAGAAGTATTTGCTCAACGTGAAGTGAACCCCTAGGTTGTGGAGTGGGAGGGATGGGGCAGCTAAGATGTCTGAGCTGGTGGAGGTCAGGGTCCCTGGATTTGCAGCATGTCAAAGTGAGATGACTATGAGACAGAATCCACATAACTTTGAGATCTCCAGAGATCCTCAGAATGGGTACCTCCATTCTGATGCTTTTCAAACTGCAGGAGTGGGTTAATGAAATGGGTTTGGGGAGTCACAACAGAACTTGTTATTTAAATCAAATCGTGCCGAATAGGACAGAGCTCATCCTAGATAATGGGGGTAAGTTTCAGTTCATGAAAAATGTTTCAGCTCTCTCTGTGTACCAGACTATCATAGAAGAATATATTTTTTAAATTGTATGTCCTGGTCGAAAGAGTTTGGAAAACACTGTTTTAGTAACAGGAGAAAGACGCGGTAGAAAGAGCAAAGACCTTTGAGTAAGACTGAGGCTCAAATCCTGGTCACACACTCACTAGTTATATGACTTTGGGGAAGTTGTTTGGCTTCTCTGACTTCCAGTTTCCTCTTCTGAAAAGTAGGGATGCATGAGGTAATGTGCACCCAATACCTGGCATGACGGATGCAGACCCCTTTCAAGAGTCTGCAAGAAGACCCTCTTCCCAGAAAAATGAAGTTATATATAAAACATGACCAGCATTCGGAGGGTTCTTGGTCCCCTTGAAGCCTGTTAATTGGTGACTAGGGTGGGAAAAGGTGCAATGTTGGAGAGGATGCCAGATGCCAGGGAAGAGAGGATGGTGAAAGGGTGGGAGGTCCTCTTCTGGTTTTCCCCTGCCCCAAGAAAACTCACACGGTGGAGCTTCGTTGACTCCTGATGGACAGACCCTGCTCGGACCGTACCAATCTCTGGTAGGAGATTCCTGTGGGCCAAGAACAAAGAAAAAAGAGTTTATGGCTAATCTCTTCCTTTAGCAATCATGTCCTCATGCCTTGCAACAAGCCAGGCACTGGTCAGTCAGGTCAGAAGTTCCTGTGGATGAGGCTCAGGAGAACCCTGGTAAGAGAGCTGCTTTGGACCTTCCATGTGCCTGGTGTTTATCTCTGTGTCATTCTTTACAAGTGACTCCCTTACCCCGCCTTTGTGACCTCAGCCTCCACCCCCCAAATCCACATTGAGCCTCTCCCATTTTGGGGGGCCTTTCACTCTGATTGCCCTTCCATCCAAAGGGCTGTACAGTCCCCTCTCAGCCAGTCTGCCCAGGCCCTGTCCCTGGGCAGAAATTGCCAAATCACGTTCTTCTACCTTGGGACTGAATGGCCTTGAGTGTCAGTCATTTAGATGATGTTGAATTGACGTAATTGGCACATGAGTCGAAGTTGATGTTCTATCTGTGGTGCTAAGTCCCTGAGATCATGCTGTCACTCTCAGGGGGCAGCCTGGCAGGAAGAAAAGGATCCAGGGCTGGAACCCTGGTCAGAAGCCTGAGTTCTAGATCATTGTATTGTCTCAAGCAACTAATAAAAAATAAAAATTAAAAAAAAAAAAGAAGCCTGAGTTCTATCTTGACTCTTCTACATGACATTGGGCAGGTCATTTTACCTGGGGGTCTCAGTTCCTCGTGTAAAGGGTAGTTTAGGTGTGTGGCCTCTGAGGCCCTAAACAGTCTATGCTTCCTAAGCCCCATCCGGGATCCACCAGCCTATAACATAGAGATCGTGAGACAGAGCATCCTGGGAGGGGGAGCCTGGGCACAGAAGGTTGTGGAATCACACACTACCCAGGTGTTCCTGGGTCCCCGGCACCAACCACCACAACCCACAGTCCTGGTGGGTGTGCGTCCCAGGCATCCCTCCGTCCCCCGGCTCAGCTTCAGTTCCAGCTAGGCAGCAACCGTCCAACATCCACACCTCTGCCTGGCTTCCCCCACCCCCTGGGAAGCTGCTGCCTTGCCTAACGCTACTTTCTCTGAAATCTGAGTCCCGCTCTCCTCCCAGCTTACATCCCCTCCTCTCCAGCCTCTTGCACCTCTCCCTCTCCTGAGACTTCAAACCCCCGCTAGGAAGAAACCAACCAAACATTTTCTGGTTTTTCCTGCCACATGACTCGGCAGTTGGACAGTATCACTTTACAGTCTGTATTCAGTTCTGTGTCACTCGTGCGGGCTTTCAACAATCCACTCTCCCACAGATCAAGGGAAACAGAGGCCGAGCTGGGGCTGTGGGGATCAGGCCACCCTCTTATCAGAAGTCGGAGGTGGTCACAGGGAAGTCCCTGTGGGGAGCAGGCCACCTGGGTCTGGGGTTGAACTATGAAGCCAGAGGGACATGTCCTCTGATACACAAGCCAAGATCAGGGGTACAGAGACAGCTATAAACAGCAAGTCCATGATTTTTGTTTAGTAAATGGCAGAAAATTGCCAAATCACGTTCTTCTACCTTGGGACTGAATGGCCTTGAGTGTCAGTCATTTAGATGATGTTGAATTGACACAATTGGCACATGAGTCGAAGTTGGTGTTCTATCTGTGGTGCTAAGTCCCTGAGATCATGCTGTCACTCTCAGGATTTGGCACACCATCTGGTGGCTGCTCACATACATTACAGGAAAAAGCTCCTCTTGAACCTCCCCCCGCCCCCCACTAGAATACAGTGGAGACAAATGGATATCCCCTAGTCTCCCTGACTGCAAAACACACACACAAGATAAATCTCCTAACTTTGTTTCTCTTTTCTTTTACCATTTCTTTTTTTTTTTATCATTTTCTTTCTTTCTTTTCTTTTTTTTTTTTCAGTGTTAAGGATGGAACCCAGGGCCCGGCCCATGCTAGGTAAGCTCTCTACACTGAGCTCCATCCTCAGCCCTGTTTATTTACTTATTTTTAACACAAAGCCCACATCCCACTGACCTCTCATCTCCACCACCAACTCTGCCTCTGTCGACCCCCAACATACAGTTGGTCACACTCTGGGGATCAGCAGGCTGTGAAGTCACTCTCCTTCCACATCAGGTTTCCTTCAAAATGCTTCTGACCCCAGTGCCCTCCCAGAGCTTACCAGGATTACCCCTGTCATCCAATACAACCGCTCAGTCTTAACCATCACTCTTCCTGGGATTCTGTCTATGGAGTGTCTATGGATTCTGCTCCTCTGTAGCTCTGTCATGAGAAACATCCTTTAACCTCTTACATCCCTATCCCCACCTATCTTGGGATATTTTACTAGCCTTATTTTAGGATGACAGTACAGTTAGAGCTGGGGTTGCTCCCTATTCCCTGTGTGGACTCCCCGTAACGGCGTGTGTGGGTTTTTTGCTTCATTCTTGGGGGGCTATGTGAAAGGGCACCTGCAGCACACCCTGACCCAGAGGAAGCTGTTTTCAGAGCTGGTTGGCCTAGCGAATACCCAAGACCTCAGCCGTTGCCAAGTGGAGCATACAATCATCAGACAAAACCCCCAACCCCACCCTGACGACCCCATCAAGTCCCCCTCTCTTGGCCTCTCTTGGTAATGGCTTCAATGCTCATCATGGGGTGTGGAGTTTGGGGGGATGACAGGAGGAGCTGGGGTCAGAACTGGGAACAAATCAGAACATCCATCCTGTAATAGGAAAGAAGGCTTTGATCTCGTCAACTTTTTTTTTTTTTTTTTTTTGCAAACTGACTTTCTGAACTGGGTTTAGAAATTGTACTTCAACTCCCTATTTGTTGGGGAACGTTGTGAGGTTAGAAATGTCTCCCAGCATCCTACAAACCAGAGGGACCTTGCTTTTCATTATGTTCCCCCGTGGCACCAGAAAGATCATCACTGCTAAGGCAGGTGGCAGTACCAGTACCAAGATCACCTTTAACTCCAAACCCCATTCCCTCAACAGACAGCCTGGGTCCATGGACACCTGTCCCTCACCTTTACCCCACCTCCCATTCCCTCAACAGGGAGCTTGACCCATCCCTCGGGGTATCACTTGAATCATAAGAGTCCCCCAAAGCCTATTTGTTAACGCTTCCTCCAAGGTGGTGTTATTTATTGGGAAGTGATGGAAATTTTGAGATGTAGGGCCTAGTGCACAGTAGTCCTTAGGTCATTGAGGGTGTGCCCTCCAAGGGGATTGTGGGAACCCAGCTCCTTCCTCTTCCCATGTGTTGTCTCCCGTCAGTGAGGGGAGTGGTCCTTCTGTACCACAGGCTGCCACCATGAGGTGCCACCTAGTCATACGCCTAAGGCAATGGGGGCCATTACCATGGGCTGGCACCTTCCAAACTGTGAACCCAGATAAACCTTTTCTCTTTATAAATTAATTATCTTGGCTACTTTGTTATAGTGATGGACATGGCCGATATCTTGTTATGGTGATGGAAAACTGAAAAACACATTTGGTCTCCTTAGCAGCTGGGACCAGGTTTCTGAGGTTGCTCCTTAGACCCCAACTGCAGAGGTTGAATAACAAAAACAAATACACTGCCTGGGTAGTGCTTAATTTCAGGTTCTTGTCAGCAGGAAGCAGAGTGGAGCCAGCGTCTATGGACAGAAAGTGGGTACTGACAGGGTGCCAGGTGGTCATGCAAAGTTCCACCTCCTTGCCCAGGCATTCAGGACCCTTCACAGTTGAACCACATTTGCCCACTGAGGCTTCCGCCTCTTCTTAAGGTGGCAAATAGATGGCTCTATACACAGAACAGCAGACTGTGAAGACCAAGGATACAGAAAAGGTACCACTCCTGCCCTCAAGCAAATACTAGCATAAGGTCAACCACACACCAGCGCCCCTCGCCGAGGCTGCCGGGAGTACCTGGCACAAGTGAGGCAGGCAGCAACAACAGTTTGACTCAAGTCTCCTCTTACCAGGCCCAAAAGCAAGATTTCACGAAGTCCACGCACTAATGTCAAGCAGAGCCCAGCCTAACTATGTTGCAATCCCAAAAGACTGTGTCGTTGAGTCCTCCAGTTTCTGTAATTAATGTCAGCTCATGGCTGACGTCTGGAAAGCCTGATCTATAGCAGACCCAGGCACGACACTCCCAGTAACTAGGTTTCTCTTATGCTTTCTCCCAACAGGGGTCCCATCTTGGGATCCTGGATTCTAGAGGGGCTAGAGAAACCTGAGACTGGTGGCCACATAGCCTCAGCAGGCACTGGGCAGGAAGGAATAGCACAGACTTCAAACAAAGCCAGGGGGAGGACATGGCCAGGAAGACCTGGGATCCCTGCCAGATGGGAGTCCGGAAGCAGAGAAGTGGAGGATGGGAAGAGATGTGGTTAGGAAAGGCAAGAGGAAAATACTAAGGGGAAGGAAACTGGTGTGCAGATCTCCGTGCTGGCAGAGTGGGTTTCAATTCTTGGAACCAACAGGACAATGATAACAAAAGACACATGCTGGTGTGAAGCCACAGAAATGCCTGTGGGGTGAGTTCCTCCAGCTTTTCGGAGCCTCAGAGCTGGGGATAAGTGAGGCAAGACCTGTCATGACACCCCTCTCACCGCCCTACCAAGAGTCACACCAATGGGCCCAATCTGGGTTTTCCGTACCACTTTTTTCCCTCCCCCCTTTTTTTTCCGTACCACTTTTACAAGTAAATCTTATGCAGCAGAAACTTCTAATCATCTATGAAATATCCATTTTTCTTTCTCACTAATGGGACACCGGGCTACGAAGTCACATTTCTCAACCACCCTTGCAGAAGGTGTTGGCTGGATTCATTTTGGCAACCTCTCTCCCTTCCTCCTCTCTGTGAACTGCAATGTGGATATGATGGCCAGAGCACCAGCAGCCATCTTATACCATGAAATGTTCTTGAGGATAATGCCTCCAACTAAGGATGGTGGAACAGAAAGGT